GATTGTAGGTCTTGTTGGAGGTTAGGCCCGCACTCCATGAGATCGTTCAAGCTTTGTCCTGTACTTGTCTTGGCAGAGGCATTAAAGACTACGCGCAATTTTGTAGTTGTTGAGTCCAGCTTTTGTACGCCGTGATGAGGTAAGAAGTAGCTTGGCTTATGGTGTTCAGTGCATGGCTTCATGTGGCCGAGTTGTAGATATTCGTCAATAAACTTCTTGTATGACGTAGAAAATGTTTCCTGTTTGGCCAATCGTTTTTCTAACTGCCGAAATTGTGCGATTGCCTGTGGCTTAGAAGTGCCCAAGGTTTGTTCGTAGTTTATTTTCATTGGAAGTCTGACTGCATATCGTCCGTCTTCTTTTCTTGTTGTTGTGGTTGAATAAATAGATTCACAGTATTCTTCCTCTGATGTTAGATTGTGATTGGTTTCGGTTATCTCCTCCATCTCCCAAAATCGAGATACATCGTCAAGATTAATGAGCACGTGGCAGTTGAAGGTTTTGATATTGCCCAGCAGTACCCAGCCCACTTTTGTCTGTTGAGCCATGGGTGCGTGTGAGGGTCCTCGTAGCATACCACTCATTACTATGTCAGCATACACTCCAGCGTCTAACAGAACGTCCACTGGTCTCGAGATGTTGAAGTCGGGATCCGCCAGTTGTATGTTCTGAATATGTGGCCAGTCTTGTTTTTCGAAGGTGTAATTAGGCAGGTTGCTGAGCATGTTGGCCATTACCATGGCTTCGATTGTAAATGAATGGCCTCCGTACAAAGACTCACAGTCTAACCGTACGGTTCCGTTGCTATGATGTGCTGACGTCCCTATGCCTGAGACTGTGGCGTTTCGATTTTGTCTTTGCAGTCCCAGCCGTTGCGCAGCATCTTCAGTTATTAGATTTATCTGTGATCCTTGGTCGAGAAGGCATCGCAATTGAACAGTCGATCCATCAGCTGCCATCACCTTTAATTGAACGGTCGCTAGTAGGACTTCGTTATAATTTCCAGACACGTGGTTTGCCTTTTGCTGTGACGTATGTGGCTTGTTGCTAGGTATAACGTTATTTGAGACCGCGATTTCAACTTTGCGGTAAATATCGTGCAATGTTGTGTGGTGTGCTTCTTTGCACACGCGGCATCTTTTGTTGGAGTTGCATTTATTGTCGTTGTGTAAGTACAGGCAATTGCGACAAATATGTAGTTGCGAAATTGACCTCATTTTGTCTTCCGGTGACATGTCTTGAAACGACTTGCAGTAGAGTAAAATATGATTGTTTTTACACAGTGGGCAATTTTTGTCTGTGCTTGTATGATATGCTCGAAGAAAACTACGCCTGTTGGTGTTGTTAAAGTCCTTCTTAAATTGAGCTGTTGCCTCCTTGTTGGTCGAATTGTTTGACTTGTTAGGTGTCTGTCTCTTCTTTTGAACAGGTTCAAGCGCAGTAAACTTGTTTTCCAAGAAGTTTATCAGCTCATCCAAGGAAGGTAGCTCTCTCGGAGCCTTTCTGATCTCCATGTAGGCTGCATACGTGTCGGAGTCCAATTTGCCAGTGAGAATGTGCACCAGGATCGGATCCCAAGTCGTTGTGTCGATGCCCAGATTGTGAATAGCATGTATGGTCTCGACACTTGTGTCATGTAGCTTCTTCAGCTCGTATGCATTCTGTGTTTGCAACGCCGGTTGTCCCATAAGGGTTTGTATATGTTTTGTAAACAAAAGTTGTCGGTTGTTGTACCTATGGGTGAGTATCTCCCAACAGGTGTCGTAATTATCAGCTGATACTGTAAGATGCTGTACGATCCGCTCCGCCTTGCCTTTAAGCTTCCCCTTGAGATGCTGCATCTTTGAATTTTCATCAACATGACATTGTTGTGGATGGCTTCACAGTAGAGGTCCATGAATGTAGGCCACTGGGTATAATTACCAGAAAAAGAAGGAATCTCAATTGTAGGCACTTGCTGATGCTGTTGAGATACTGAGTTAAGCTTACGATTCAAATCCCTTTTTGTAGTTTCGTACAAGGTTTCGTATGCAGAAAACTCTTCTTCGTAGCCTACATCACCGCCAGAAGTCAGGTTATCGATTTGCCAGTGGAGCTCGTCGATCAGTTTCCAGCGAGACTGCAGCGAATTCAGTTTGTCACAAATTTCCCACTTTTCTGTCAACTCTTTGGTGTTGATGTTTTTAATCACCCTAGAGAGCGCCCGGAAATTAGTGCGTTGTTGGCTAATGAACTCATCAGACCTTGATGGTACTCCAGTTTCCGCAGTTTTCACCTCGTAGTTCGTCAGCATGTCACGAATCGCTTCGTACCGCTTCTTTGTGGTGGTGTAGGTATCATTGATGAAATAGTCGTCATCCAAGTCACTGTCTGTTTTTTTTAGAACACCATGATTCATGTTGAACACCTCCCATTGAGCATTCAAAGCATCCAACCTTTTCTGTATGTATGTTCCTGACTTACGTGAATCAGAATCCTTTTTGAAGTTAGCCTCAATTTTAAGGATAGATTCAATGATTGTTCTCTGTTGTTGAAGTAGGTTCTCCATGGTTTAAGAACGATGTTGTAAATAGTTGGTTTCAGATACGTGTGACTGCGACTCTTAACGTAGTATGCACCTCAATCAAGCTGGTGAGACCCGCTTGTGGGAGGCCAGCAACCAAAGTGACACTACAGATAGAATCACGAATAACTCTTTTTTTTTTTTTTTTTTTTTTTTCAAATACACTTTACTGTTGAACTATTGTAGACGTAATATGCAAGTCTTAGTTCACGTCGAAAACTCGAAGGACCAAAATGTAGGGGGTATTTTGTGAATTGTGACCCTCTACATATAATTGATATGTAGTATATTAATGTAGGTTGTATCTTCTACGTTACGGGATGTGGTAATTAAAACTGTGTCCGTTTCCGTAGAGAGCGTTTATTGTACCGAAAATACTTATGAATAAAAAATGTAATTATAGTGAACGTGTCGCGCGCGCAGGCGCGATATCAGCATTATTTTCTAAACTGTTGAAATATCATGTACTTGCTCGTACACCTGTAGCAAAATAATAAACTTATTTTCAATAATTTCTAAGTTTTTTTCGAAGAACATTTCTAAATACTTTAAAAAAAGAATTTCAAACAACACCTTGTTATTATTTATCTATGTATTACTTATAATCAAATAAAAACTTATGCGGACTATGGTGATTTGTTTATCGAGAAAAAACATCGACATAGTCCACGCTTTACGTTGCTTACGCATTTAGACAGCGCCATCAGTGTATCAACACGTGTACAATTTGATGGTATGCGTAAAAGCGATGAACACAAAAACAAATGCTGTAGAGTTCGTTTATAGTGACGCGATTTAATTTTGCATTTGTAGTTAAGTATACAGTTGTGTGGTTTTCTTGCGCCCCCCTGATGTTGACAGAATTTTTGTTTAGGAATTAACGCACATGGCCTCTCCAGTTGGTTGAATACTCAAAGGTTATATGTTATGTAATAATACTTGGACTTCTGAAGCGAATTTACTTTTAATTTGATAAAGAATTTAATGAGTCAATCATGCCGGGGTTTTTGTGATTCCATACAATGGCTTGGGTCCAAACTTTGTACTCTTTGAAACCTCCCTTGCGAGCTTGTCGGCTAGTTCATTGTCTTCAATACCCGCATGACCTGGAACCCTTCTCAAAACGTCCCTGTTGTTACACCCCAGGGCGTTTAAAGAAAAAAGAAGGTTTATGTCTTTACTTTCGTTAAAAGTTGATTTTAAAAGAATTGATAAGGGGATATAGTAACTCAGCTCAAATTCTAATTTTGCCCCCACTTCCCCGCGCGTCGTATGCTAAGTACCAACATGTTTGTAATCACTAATACTGTAAGTAGATAGGTCATTAGATACTTATTTCATTAGGCTTATCATATTTATGCCTGTTTCTTTACGCCAAAGGTTCGCTCGCCACTCGTTTCTTATTTTTATTACGGTTATTTCCCATCTTAATTTTACGTCGTCCTGTAGCGTAATGTGTATTCTGATCTCGTAAGTGATTGTGTAATCTGATTTCGTAAGTGATACAGTTTCCCCGTTCAAAAGCCGAAGCGAGACTAACCGGGCGGCAGGAAAAAAGTTTCAAAACGCCGATAGTTTAGGTAATTTCTTTTTACAGTGAAAATAATGGTAATTAAAAAAAATAAAAAGCATAAGCACTGCTTTATAGTTAGTTCAGTTAGTATGCAAAGTTTCATGATCTAATTTAAAGTAGTTTATGAATAACAGCGGTTTATTGTTCAGTTTGGAGGTAACTTTGGATTTTTTTTCTATCGAGAAAATTTTACGGAATCGTGTTTTTGTCTAAAATAGTACTTAACATGAATCCTCAATGTTACAATATATTTATTTCAAAATTTATGCTGCGATATTTTCGGCATAACGAGGTTGTGTTTTTAATATTTTCCCTTAACAATTGCATTCGTCATAAGGTGAATAACACAGAGCTTTAAAACGTAGGTATGATATGGTAACCGTAGTAACATAAGTGCGGCCATCTAAGTTATAAATTTATTGAATACCATCTCATATAAAATTCCAATAGTTGTTATGTTTTCCTTCAGTTACTAGTTAATTAATTAATTCATATAAATAGTCAATAAACTTACAGACGCGTTTATTGTATAAATTGCCTTTAAAATGTTGACGTCATTGTCATATTTTACTATAATTTCCACAAATAATAGCTTTTTTATCAAAGGACACACAATAGACAGTGTCGTAATCATCACTTTCAGTTTTAATTCTAGATTAAAATCATAGGCGTATTCGTTGGGTTCACCAAGATAAAGCGCTATCTACACAATTACAGTAACTGTAAAACACTACACTCACACAGTTGCAATAAAATAACGAATAACACACAACAATTTAATGCACAGTTTGAAAGTCAATTAAAAAGATAAGGAATTAATTGCAAGCCTAAAATAAACCTTTCTCATTACATTACACAAAAAATTTAATTATCCGAAAAATCAGCTGTATCCGTATCCAAGGAACTCACGTCAGCGTCTCGATCACTTTGTATTATTCCAAGCAGCGAAGCATTTCTGGCGGAACCTTCGCTCGTATTAAATATGTTATCATTTTCTGTGCCTGTAATAAATAAGGTTAAAAATTAAATTCTCATAATAGACATTTAAAAAAATAATAAAATCTGGTTTACCGTAGCACTCCTGTATTAACACTATCAGAAAGATGTTGCTCCCCATCTACTGCCTCAGTGTCCCTTTGTCACCTTTTATGACATAAGTAGTCGTGAAACCCATATGAAGAATAAACTTGCGTACTATCATCTTATTCTGTGGTAAAAACAGAATTTAATATAAGCAATAACAGTCTAAAAATATTTTGTTTCAAATCGCTTGCTGATTTTTTAAACGTTTATTATACGTAAGAAGTTAATTACAATTAATTATTTATGTTTCCGTCGAAACCCGATTTCGGGACACTAGTTTTTCTAAGCCCGACAAAATCAAGTAGATGTCCACGGATTTTGGATAGCCCTTGATTTACCCAAGCCGTACTTCACTGTCGCTGATATTACTTTTTACTAAATCCGGTGGCCAGTAATATAATATTGTTGCGCGCCTAAGTTGACGTCATGTACCCGGCACTAGCGCCAGCTAGTGTCAGGTACGAGATCGAGGGCATCTTTTCAGAAAATGACATCACTAATCTTTCAACCCGCAGGGCCATCTAATATCGAAACGAAGAATTAAGCTTCTAGAAGCCGACACTCAAACTTTCGGCGCCTGTTCGATTGGTGCGCGTATTTACTTGATGTTCTGGATGTTTCGGTGCTAATGTGTATTTATAGGCGCTGCAAGATGCGATCGGGAAGTATTGAATTTGTCGAGACAAGCGAAGCTTCGGAGCGGAATAAAGTGAATCAGTGTGATTAATTATTAGTGTTTTAAGTTTAATTAGTGTAAAGTGAATTAAAGAGTTAATTTTGGTAATTCTATCGGCAATTTTTATTGTCACGAACCTCAAGCTCGTAAAAATATTAAGCAATTTCTAAATGATACTACTTAATTTCTAAATGATACTACTTCGTTGTATGCTGATGGCTTCGGACCGTGCTTTGTGACTCCACTGTGTGTTCAATGATGATGATACTATCATAATCGTCATCGTCCTACACTTCGCCTACCTATACGAGGCTGCCACGCGAAAATATGTTTTTTTTTCAATAGGTTGTTGATTCTTCGAGCTATATGGCCGGCTCATTGCAACTTCAGCTAACTAATACGTTGGGCTATGTCGGTCACTCTGGTTCTACTGCGAATATCCTCATGCATGCAGCATAGCCCTCTCCATAGCTCGCTGAGTGACTTTGAGCGTCCTCGTACGGCCAACAGTGAAAAACCACGTCTCAGTTCCATAGGTCATCACTGGCGACACGCACTAGTTGTACAGTCTCGTTTTCAGGTTTTGAGGTATAGCTGACGAGAAAATGTGTCTTAAATTCCCGAACACTGCCCAGCCGAGTTTAATCCGTCGACTGACCACTTGGTCGAAGTTGGACTTAGGTAAGTTCAACTTCGACTATTTCGGTCATCGGACTATTTGTCCGAGGTAAACATCCTCGTCAACAATTCCGAGCTTAGTGCTCCATACAAATACCGGCACAGGTATGACATGAACGTTACACATGATCTTTGTTTTGTCCATGATCATCTTGAGACACTATTCAGGTCATTGAGCATCAGCAATTCTGCCATAAGGACTATATCGTCGGCAAAAAGAAGGTAAGTAATGTACTTGCCATTGATGTTAATATCGTATCCTTTCCAGTCCAGTAGCTTGTAAACGTCTTCCAATGCAGCGGTGAAGAGTATCGTGAATACAAAGTCATCCTGTCTTACACCTCTCTGCAGTTGGATAGGTTTCGTATTCTGGTTCTGTACTCGGATAGCCATCGTAACCCTACTGTACAAACACTTCAGCACTTCGATATACCGAAGTTAACTTGGCACCGCTGAAGGAACTGTAGCACCCCCCAAATTTCGACGGAATCAAAAGCTTTCTCATAGTCCACATACGCAAGGCAAAGTGGCAGATTATACTATTCGGTCTTTTGTACAATTTGCCGAAGGGTATTTATGTGGTCTATTATACGAGGGCGGCACTGAAAATTTCGGGAATCAAGGAAGTGACACAACATTACTATTTAAAAATGTATTTATTGCTTTTCGAAGTATTCTCCGCGAAATTTGACACATTTTTACATACGATGGAACCAATCATTGAAGCAACTATTCCATTCGGAAGTTTAGGTCTCCAAAATGGCCGTCTTGTAGGCGTACAGCTTCTTCAGGTGATGATAATCTCTGTCCACGTAATTTATTCTTTATTTTAGGGAAATTATAGAAATCATTAGGGCTTAGGTCGGGACTGTACGGCGCATAATTCCATGTTTTCTTGCTCTAAAAACTATTTTGTTCTGTGTGCGGTATGAGAACTCGCATTGTCGTGATGGAGGATGATGCGGCGGTTGCAGTTCTCTTTACGGAGTTCAGAAACGACCTGTGGCAAACAAATGCTAGCATACCATTCTGCATTAACCGTTCTTTGTCCCTCAAAAGGAATAGTCGTAACATGGCCGGTTTTGGAGACAAACGTGGCCACCATTTTTTTTGCAACACTCCGTGAACGAACAATTTTTGTTGGCTTTAACTCATTTTCGAACACCCAAACTCGTGACTGGTTTTTTGTTTCGGGTTCGTACGCATATATCCAGGATTCGTCACCTGATACGATATTGTATACAGCATTTGAGGATATTGCGTGGAATCTTTCGAGAGTTCTGACGCACCAAGTAACGCGAGCCGCTTTTTGCTCTTCACAGAGCGAATGCGGTATCCATCGGGAAAACAACTTTTTTATATCTAATTGTTCATGCAAGATTATTTGTGTTTGACTCATGCCAATGTCTAAAGTTGTCTGAATTTCGTGGTATGTCATTGGATATGCGGATTGAGGAAGATCGACAATATCTTCCTCAATCAGCACAGCATCAACGTTTTCTTGGGTGACTGCAGTTTTTGGACGACCTTAACGGGGATCATCACTGAGCTTGACAAGTCCACGTTGAAATTCAGCAAACCAGCGATAAATTGTGATTTTGGATGGGGCTTCATCACCAAATGCAGAAATCATACGGTCAACACACTGTTTTTGTGTTAAACCACTTCGAGTCATAATAAATCATCGCTCTTGAATTTTCTCGAGTCAATTCCATTTTCTCAACGACTAAACAAGTTTGACAAAACCTTGTGACAAGACCGAGAATCCTTTTTTTAAATAAATAAATGGTATTCGATTTTTAAAACCAAGGAATTCTCAATTAAAAAGATTTTAATATGACAGGAACAGTGCAAATATTCTATTCCCGATACTTTTAGTGCAACCTAGTACTAAAGCCCTTTCGGAAACCGGCTTGTTCGGGAGGCTGGAAATCGTAGAGTCTGCGTGCGAGACGATTCGTAATGACTCTCGAAAACAGTACGTAGACGTGGCTCACAAGGGAAATCGGTGTATAGTTCTTCAAAAGAGCATTGTCACCACACCTTTCTTGAAGAACAAGACCACCGCACTTTTGCCCCACGCCTCCCATGTAGTTCCGCCATGGAGGACGGAATTAACTAGCTTCTAAAGGGCTTTAAGTACTGGTTTTCGAACCGCTTTCAGAAGCTCCGCTGTAATTCCATCGTCGCCTGGGGCCTTACCGTTTTTAAGATGCTGGAGGATCATTCTAATCTTGCTTAGACTGACGTGACGTCTGGTATATCATCGGAATAGTGTCGGATAAGATTTGCTCTTTTTTTTTAAAAAAAACGTTACTCCTACACTAGGATTTTCTCCTGTATCGCGGGGGCAGTTTACAAACATAGATTGCACAAGGACAAACATCCAGACCCGGAACAATTATTTATAGGCAATCTTGTATCAATACTCACACTTGCGTGTGACTCAGCTGACCACAGAACCTCTCAATCTCACTCTAAATCTCAGGTGTACTGGAAACAATGCTGCCACACTCGGTTTAGCTTTGACTACTCTGGTAAAAACTTTGAAGTGCCGCTTCCTCTCGATCGCTTCTTCAATACAAGCAATATTAAAGTTTCGTAAATCCCGCCGCATGTATTTGGAGATCTGCCTGTTCAGCCAGCCTATGCCTGTAAGCTGTCAAATCTGCTGTAGACTGCAGCTTAATTTCCCGTCTAACAGGCATGAGATTAAGAATGTGATCGGAGAGTTTTTGTGACCGCTCCAACTTAATGTTTAGGTTCAGTGAGCCTCTAACCACTCGGTGATCGCCGCCAGTTTTCACCCTCGCGATAACTGAGACATCGCTGAACACTTGTCGTTTGGTCGTCATAATTAAGCCAATCTTATTTCTTGTCGAACCTTCGGGGCTCGACCAGGTTCACTTTCTGTGGAGCCACTTCAGGAAGAAACAGTCCATCATAAAGAGTCCCTCTTTCTCCATGAAGTCGGCCAGCTTGCCGTTCTCTCTTGAGTCTAGTTTTGCCTAGAATCCCATTAACACCATATATTGAGTTTTGGATGAATGCATGGCGATACCGCGATATGATTTGGTGATACCCTCATACATTTCCTCCACCTACTCATCGGGATTTGCCAAGGTGGGTGCGTAAACCAGTATAACCTAACCTTCAACGGATACCGTTTGGTAATTCTTAGTATAAGGTAATAAACTTTCGTCGATGCCTTATACTAAGACACACTAGAAATATTTACAACGTTTTTAACGAGATACTTGTGGACGATAAACCCAACACCTCCTTGGGACAGATGGTTGCCCTCCCGTTGATAATACAAGTTGCCGGATTCGAGGATTGAGTTCATGTAAGACATGTAAGAAGTACATGAATCATCCAACACACATATATATTCATAGTTATTTATATGTACTATTTATATATGCATAATAATATGTATACTATTTGTGTATATGTATATAATGTATATTTGTATAATTTATTTATTTTGTATATTAGTAAAATGTATGTATTACGTAGTTAATTATCATTTTAATTTAGTTCTCGTTCTATATTGCTGCACCTACGTCAAATTCTAATAACTTTATGGGTTGACTGGTAGAGAATGTCTCAAGTTAAGGCATTAGCCTTAACTTAATAAAAGTAATAAATGAATCAATTGTTGTTGTTAGAAGATGTTACTGTCCATCTCTTGGACTTTTTTTCCTCTGTCGCCTCTTACTTCACTGACGGGATGACTTAAGGTAGTGAATTCTATTATGCCGCTACTACACGGATATAGCACAAACAATTTCAGCTTCTTTAACAAAGTATGTCATATATATATATATATATATATATATATATATATATATATATATATTTTTTTTTATATATATTATATGTAAAAAACATAGATTTGGAATAATTGAAAGAAGAAAAAGTGACTAAATATACCTTCGGTTGTTCGTAATGATAAATTTGGAGACACACCAGATGTCACTTGTGAAAATGGATGGTTGCTTGGTTCTCGTAAGAATTCAATATGGGCGGTATAAGCCGATGGATCTATTAATATAGCCTAAAAATAAAAAAGATATGCTATAAGCACATTTACAGACGATAAATTACACGGCATACTTCGACAGATTTTCAATATTTAACTTGACATTCCTCATCGTCATCTGATGATAATCATCATCATCACCATAACATGTAGCTCACAGTCTCACTTGTATAACTAAAAGTGTTAAAAAATCTCACTTCTGCACTGGAAACTTTAATACCACGTGGCTGGTCAGACTATATGTCTACAGCATGTCCTGGGATCAAATACTAGACAATTTTTATCATCTGTGTTCCAATATTTTTACAGTTATTTTTTATTAACAAAACCAACAGCATAAATATTACAAATTTTTTTGGAATATTAGAACAGGTTTCCCTCTAATTATTATTCTTAATATAAAATATTTCTTAGAAATTCATTAAATTTTTCTTAACATTAAATGCAGGTACTCGTAATTACTGGTAAAAGCAAATGGTCGCTCATGGAGCTCTATGGAGAGGGCTACGTTCGGAGTTTCTTTACTTGATAGACTTCAAAATGTTGATATCCTCAATAGAACCAGAGTAACCGACGTAAGGGATCGGTTATTCAATGGCAGTCTTGTATCTACTAGATGTAGTGACGACCTAGTAAGACATGCAGGAAATCGATGAATGCAGGTAGCGCAGGACCGTGCTGTGTCATTCCTAGGAGGAGGTCTCTGTTCAGCAGTTGAGTTGTGAAGGGCTGTTAAAATGATGATCATGACATACATATATTGTTATATTATATATTAGCAGCCATTAACGACAATATTAGAAGACAAAATTATTGATTTTGATATGAGAGATGATGTCTTTAAAATTAATTTTGGAGGATTTTTTATTCTTTAGGCTACGTTGCTACATACTTCGCTATGTTGTGCAGATGACGTTTCAGTAGAACTCAATGACGTGTCGCGTCCTGAGCTGTCCTGATCACTATGAATACCGCAACCATCACCAGCTCCAGCACCTAGGCCACTTGCCTCCATTATATTTCCATTAACATCCAAATGAGGTTGAGGAATAGAATGTAACGGAATAGGTGGTGAGATATGCTGCGGCTCTTCTTCATCCTAAATAAAGGAAAAAAATCTTAAATTTTTTTAATGAAAACATAAACAAAAAAGCCACAATTAAATCTCACATAAGTATATAATTATAACTGAATGTAGTGCAAACTACTTTGAAGCTTGATATTTAATTACTACATATGCGTACAACCTATCATAGGGTAAATATAAGAGAAATTTGTTCGTAAACAAAAACAAAATAATAAATTCATAACCAATGAATACAAATCAAACGTTATACCTAATCTAACCTAACCTAATAGAGCAAGATCCCGCGACGATCACTTTCGTTATTTTATTAAAGCTGAAAGTTTCTCTATGTAGGTCCCTAATACAGGTATGAACGATCCCCGACTATGAAATATGGATCGCGATTGCTTTGAAAGGTAGCAAATGTGTATAAAATTGCAAATTAGAACCAAGTTGTCCATTTTGAAACAGTACGATTGCAATCCCTGTCAGACACCCTTTAAATTATAATTAATTCTAACTATACTTACGTTATAGTATTAAATCTGTATTTTAACTTACTTAAAGAACTATCAGAAGATGTTTCCTTAGTAATCAGAGAGTTTTGATGGTTTTTATATCTTGTCAGACACATTAAAAGTATACCGTAGGTGTGAGCGCAAACGGGTGGGGGTGAAATAGCGGAGTCGGTCTATGGCGACCTTTTAATGCGCATCATGTGTCGCTTATTCCCTATTGTATAGTGAACTATATATTATACGTGCTATTATACGTACATTACACGTTTCATTAATCATTTGTGCAGTTTATGAATTAATGTGATTCATTTTGAATAAAGTGTTATCATGGGAGAGGTATGAATTTGTGTTGTTTGTAAAAAAAAGTGATGGCAAAATAATTTTCTGAGCAGACATTAAAAAAATGTCAAACTGTTCTGAAAGCAAGAAAAAACTTAATCTCAAGTATCTTTATATTTACTAAGAAATATAATGTTTTTATATTATTTCTCGTGATGTATATACTGACGGTGGTATCATCAGGAATTACGAGTAAAGTTAAAAAAGTTACAGCCGATACGAGTATGCGTCCCACTCCTGGGCACAGGACTCCGCTCATTTCTGAGAGGGTTTTAAGTCAAAGACTTGTCCACCGCTCTACGCTCTATGTGTGTTGGTGAACTTCACGTCTTCAAAATATTTCTCTCCTATTTCTCAGACATGCAGATTTCCTCACGATGTTTTACTTCACCGCCGAGTACGTGGTAAATCAGCACTTTAAATTGCAAGTAACAATTTCATTAGTGTCGACTGGGATTGAACCCGGTTTGCTCCCGTACTCTGAAATTTACAACGAGCGCTAACCATCTGAGCTACCACGGCTATAAAGTATTCACGGGACTTCAAGTACTGAAAAAAAACAATAAAAACAAATATCAACCTGTGTGGCTGATATTTCTTGGTTGGAGATACCTAGGCTGCACTAAAAGTATCGGGAATGGAATATTTCCACTGTTCCTGTCATATTAAAATATTTTTAATTGAAAAATCCTTCGTTTTAAAAATCGAATACCATTGATTTATTTAAAAAAAGTTTCTCGGTCTTGTCACAAGGTTTTGTCAAACTTGTTTAGTCGTTGAAAAAATGGAATTGACTCGATAAAATTCAAGAGCGATGATTTATAATGACTTTCGAAGTGGTTTAACACAAAAACAGTGTGTTGACCGGATGATTTCTGCATTTGGTGATGAAGCCCCATCCAAAACCACAATTTATGGCTGGTAAGCTGAATTTCAACGTGGACGTGTCAAGCTCAGTGATGATCCCCGTCAAGGTCGTCCAAAAACTGCAGTCACCCAAGAAAACGTTGATGCTGTGCGTAAGCTGATTGAGGAAGATCATGTCGATCTTCCTCAATCCGCATATCCAATGACACCGCAAAATTCAGTCAACTTTAGACATAGGCATGAGTCAAACACAAATAATCTTGCATGAACAATTAGGTGTAAAAAAGTTGTTTTCCCGATGGATACCGCATTCGCTCTGTGAAGAGCAAAAAGCAGCTCGCGTTACTTGGTGCGTCAGAACTCTCGAAAGATTCCACGCAGGATCCTCAAATGCTGTATACAACATCGTATCAGGTGACGAATCCTGGATATACGCGTACGAACCCGAAACAAAAAACCAGTCATGAGTTTGGGTGTTCGAAAATGAGTTAAAGCCAACAAAAATTGTTCGTTCACGGAGTGTTGCAAAATAAAATGGTGGCACCGTTTGTCTCCAAAACCGGCTATGTTACGACTATTCCTCTTGAGGGACAAAGAACGGTTAATGCAAAATGGTATGCTTGCATTTGTTTGCCACAGGTCATTTCTGAACTCCGTAAAGAGAACTGCAACCGCCGCATCATCCTCCATCACGACAATGCGAGTTCTCATACCGCACACAGAACAAAAGAGTTTTTAGAGCAAGAAAACATAGAATTATTAGACCATCCTCCGTACAGCCCCGACCTAAGCCCTAATGATTTCTATAATTTTCCTAAAATAAAGAATAAATTGCGTGGACATAGATTTTCATCACCTGAAGAAACCGTGGACGCCTACAAAACGGCCATTTTGGAGACCCCAACTTCCAAATGGAATGGTTGCTTCAATGATTGGTTCGTATGGAAAATGTGTCAAAGTTCGCGGATAATACTTTGAAAAGCAATAAATACATTTTTAAATAGTAATGTTGTGTCACTTCCTTCATTCCCGAAATTTCCAGTGCCGCCCTCATAAGGTAACAACAGATAACTTATCTCTAGTCACGCCATTGATACATGAGCTGACCGTAAACCCATCTAATTTACAGTCTTCAAGATAATCTTCAACAATATCACAACCAACTTTAATTTCTCAATCAATAGAAATGCAACCTTCAACTTCTCCAGGAAAATCCCATTTACAGTCTTTATCTACAGAATCTTCAACAATATCACTTACAAACTTTAATTTTTGAACCGATAGAACTAAAGTCTACGACCTTTCCAGAAAATATTGACATTTTTAAACCAAATGTTAGTAAGAATAACGATTCAACTCAGGACGCAAATATTCTGACCAAAAGTAATGCAGTAACATTAACAACTATCAAATCGTGTGTGTATTATGTATAAATAATACGTTTACGATCAAAAATACTTCCACCTTTTAAAGCTGATACTAAAGAATTTAAAACTGTTAGACTACCCAAAATTGAAGGTCAAGAAAAGTGTAATTAATTGTTAAACAAGTTGGAATTTTTTTCTAGTTCAGAAATACATTATAAACGCCGCTGAAACGGCGTCGCTTACGCGTTTTGTTCAACAAGGTACGAAGGTTTCGTGTGCCTATGGAATAAACAAGCAGTGAAAAACGGCCAAATCTCAACTTCGTAATAGGTAAAACTAATATAAATCTTTTTGTAATTAGTGAGTACTATATAAGGGATATCGAAAAGAAGTATAAACATTCGAAGGGAAATTAATCTACTCGTCGTAAAAATTAGTGTCTGTCCCGTACTTTTACCGATATTTTAAACATGGTCGGATTAAAATACGTTGTTTAATAAAATAAATGAGTCCAAGTAATACTAATTTTTAATAAAAAAGAACCATCAAAACCGGTAATAGATAGTTTCGTGCGTTTCCCATCTGTGTTCACTTTTCATAATCTATGATTTTAGCAGCGGCAGTAAACAGTAAAAAATTAAAAATAAAATTAATCATATTGAAAAAAAAATTATTAGAAATTCATGATTTCATAAATGTAGGCCATCTAGCTGCTACCACCTGGGGTGTCAATCAGTTGTTCGATGAAGTCACTACCTATAGAATGAAGTAGGTGGCGCTATTATAATTTTATTTGAAAGAAAATATAATATATATGTGTCTAATAGATATTAAAAGGATTTTTACATTTATTTACTATAAAAATTAAATTTTCTTATATTTTTTGCTTGTACTTGAACTTGTACGTGAACTTGTAGTTTAAATTATAATATTAAATAAATCATTTGCCGTAAAGTATTTGTATTTTATATTTCTATTCACTTCTGTCGCGTGTGAGCTACACGCATGTTTTTATTAAAATCAGTAACAGTATATGTCGGCACCTGCGCCGTTGCACGTGCAGCAGCGCCTCTGTGGCTAGTCGGAATTATTGTAAACAACACGTGCACCGCACACCTGCGCGTTGCACCTGCAGTGGCGCTCGTGTAGCTACTTGTCTCGATTGTATAAAACGGACGGAGCGGCCGCCGTTAAGGCAGTCTTGGCCCTGGCGTGGTACGGTGCACTTGTTGTGCTACTAGCTCATCCTCGACTCTTCGGATAATTAATTCGTGGAAGCGAATTATTTATTATTCTCAGCCATATTTTTTCACTGTCAAAAATTGTTTCCTTATTAGTAAACAATATGTTTTTATTAATAAAATATTAAAAATAAATATTGATAATTTTAGCATTTTAGTCTGATTACTAAGGAAACATCTTGTAATACTTCCTCAAGTAATATAATATGAAATTCAACTTTAATAAAATATAATTTTAATTACTGTGTAAATTCCATGTAACGTCACTCGATTTTACGACCAACTTTCTAAAGTTTCGAAATCATTCGGATTTGGTTAGTTAAGCTTATCTTCCATACAATGATACTCTTTATATAGCATTACACCCACTCTCAATAACTACAACAAATAAATAATAAAAAGTAGTTTTTTTGGTAGCAAAAATTAATAAAAACTGCACAGCTATGTACGTTCTTTTTTGTTCTTTGTCGCTTTATTATCCTAGCCCGTAATAAACTCTACTGTCGGCATCATACATACCAAACTCTCTAAGAAATCCGTTGATTGCTTGCACGTGTAAACTGTTGTTAGTAGGAGTTATGGATTATCTATACGTTATCATATTCTAGTTGCTCAGACTTTCAAACTGTAAATATGACAAGTAAGAGCAAATCACTGTGTATTGACGAAAAATTTTACTGATACGCGGAATAGAGACAGGT